GGATAACATGCATAAAGCGCGGGTATTGACTGAGCTCACACTAAAAACTCGACCTGTATGAGTTGTACCTGTAGGTTTCCAATAAAATTAAGTTAGGCTCGTATTTTTAATTCTGCAGTCCACCAAGAATAACCATGTGGGCATGTCACAGTTAGGGATAAATAAAAAAAACTGTTTCCAAAAGAACTCGGCGATTTCCGAAACCTGCGACTGGTTGAAAATTAAAACGCCATGTAAGAAATGCGGTGGGTAGACGGCACCAGTCTTCAATACATCAGGTGGATATACATATACCCAGAAAGTGTGGGAATATCGCCTGGTTGGTTCTTGGCTCCACCCCCGCTCTATATTCTATTTATTACAACGCGTAAATAACTCTGATTAATACCTGATTAGCATTACTAGTTCGATACCAGCATGTTCACAGACGTTTCATTATGTTTTGAATATAGAGAGTATTAGTGTTCTTATACGATCTCAATGAGGCATCTCATTTGGTAACTGCAATGATTTGTTAAAATCGTCTGTACATAGTGCGCAAAATACAAAGAGTTATTTTTTTAAACAACTGCGCCAAAGTTTTGCTACACATGAGACGATACGTTTGATCATTGATTAACGTATTCCACCAACCAAGAAGCACTTTCATTGTCTGATAGATGGCGTCATGGGAACGCTGATATAGCCGTCTATGGGTCATTTTCGTGAGTTACCATCCCAACGTTGGATTTTCATGAACTGGCCTCGTTGTCGCTTAACGACGGATTACTGACATCGACGGAATCTTTCTATAGCCGAGAAATTATAAAGAGTTCCAAATTCTACAAACAATTACGGCCGGGGTATTTCGTATCTTGAAAAATGACATTGTCATTTTTTTGACATTATATAGTTTTTTTGTGACATTGTGGGCTTATGAGATGTCAACTTGGAACTAGCTGTTGTTTACTTGATGTGCATTCGTTGTGTAGCTGTACGTGTTTCCTAACGTCATGGTGCTTGAGCCATTATCGTTTGGCCCTGATGTGATGCAATATCTTCCTCAGAGATGGCATTATTGGAGGTTTAAGCTGTAACATAAGTTGTACACTATAGCTGTAAGGAAAGGAGAGAAACGGCAGTGCATAGGATACACTAGATTAGTAAGTCTGATCAATGAAATTTACAATTATCATATCGACAGATCTGCATAGAATTTTGATTACAATATTGCAGATGCAGATAGATACCTATTTGTAACGTAACCTCAAAATAGTGCGCTGACACGGAATAGTAGAAAACTATGGAAATCGAGGAGGCCTTAAAGGCGTCGTCCTAGGATCGGCTGACGATACTACTATCTAGCCACTACGTTAAACAGTCGGTTCCGAATTATCTAATTATTATAATATTCAGAAACATCTACACAGCCGTACCGAACCAAGGCCAACTGATTATGCTGAGGCAGATCGACACAGCTGTTGTGGACCAGTTGGGGGTATTTCAGGAGAATTGCTACTTTGTAAAATGTTCTAGTCGAGGATGCGGGGTAATCAGGAATGAATGTCAAACATAAAATATGGAAAAATATATAGGGCAAAAAATGTATAATCAGGGAGCTGAAGCGTTTCAAATGATGAAAGAAAACTATGGATTTTATTTTGTTGTCTCAGATAGAAGCAAGCAATCCTATTATAATTGTTCAATTTGCTTGCGGCCTACGTATAGATGTAGGGTTCGGCTGCTTTCATAGGGCCTGTTGAACTTGTTCCAGGAAGGTTGATCATCAGCAAAAGAAAGCGTACCTGTCCCCAAAAATTCTCTCAAAGGGGACGCGATAAATCTAAAAACAACCAAAATTGTACCCAAACTCTTGCTAAATATGCCAATTTTAAGGTAGCTACATCCAGATTCTCAGGTGTAGCCAAGGTCAGTTGTCTAAAACACGACTCCATTTGAGGGCTTCTAGAGTAGGGAAAATGTTTAAAGGTCATGACGCTTCCTCCATGGGCAAACCACATATCTTGGAATAATGATATTGTAAACATAAATGATAGTAATAATTGCGGCTTTATTAGGGCGAAATTTAGCTAATGCTGCCGGTAAAGTTGACGCCTCCACCAAATTTGGTGATATTTGCATTACAAAAAACGTAACAACTGCCTGCGTATTCAATATACCGATGCAAAAGCAATGTGAGAGTTTCTGTAAAAATCTGTTATTTTTTGTTAAGGTAAGTTTTCCATAGCAGTTTGATATATATATGTACTTCTCCGATACATAGGTACATAGTAATAATAATAATAATAATAATAATAATCATAATAATAATAAACGCCTTTATTCGCCAAACATCAACCAATAAACATAAATTTGTATAAAAAAAGAGTTTGGCGAAGGGCGAAGTTCAGATGTAAGTATTACATTTGTCTGAAACGGTTGTAGAAAAATGGCAGTGTGTGGCAGCAACGCTATATAAAAGACTGTCAAATGTAATATACAGTTGATAAAATTTCATGGTCCTGTGATATAACTTTGACAACTACAAGTCTCTGTTCCGTTGTTCATAATGAGTTGTGGATATACTATATGGCCTGAATTGAGTGTTTTTTATTTTTTTTTGTGTAAAAAATGCTGCTTAGGCTGCAATTTTTTTTTTATGTGACATGATATGACACTTTCGTAGAAAACGCAAATATTACTATAGGTATTCGGTGGAGGCACCAACTTCACCGGTCCCTGCCTTGGATTATAATCAAATCAGTCTTTACCAAATCATGCAAAAACAGAGAAATCAAAGTGTTGAAGAATTCACAAATAAAAATCTTCAGTCTCCCATTTTACAGCTGGCAAATACACGTCCGCGTCACTTTTCAGTTTGTGTGTTGGCCAGGAGCAGGCGGAATATCTGCAATGTTGCCGATTTAACAGACGATTACATCATAGTACAGTCATCTGGAGTAGGTGAAAACAATTTGGCTAGCGTTTTTTAACCGACTGAATCAGAAGAAGAGTTATGCTCTTCGCGTATTTATATGTGGACAAAAAATTGTTCGTAGCTAACTTTTTTCTCAGAAATGATGACAGTGGTGCGTAGGAAGTTCAGAGCCAACTTTCTTGACGTCATTCTTTAATTTGGAAGACAAAGGGTAAGAAGGTAAGATCAATCTTTAAGCTGTTTATGTATGGGTTTGATGTGGTTTAGGACGCCATGTAAATATCCATAAATATTAGTTCATAGTGTCACAAATAGTTGTTGTCTACCGTACTAGTTGCAGCCTTATGTTCATGTATCATAGATTTGCATTGACCAGCAGATTTTTCTGCATTCAAAATGCACCAACTAGGTAGGCAGCAGTTGTACGAGTAGGTATATTATGCAGTTTGAATGCAGAGATAGAGATGACATCATCGTCGGAGAAAAGTAGATGAAAAGGATCAGAATACAGATTAGTATCGGATCTAGTAAGAAAAAATGGTTGTTAGTAGCTGCGCCCTTTTTACACAAAATCTCAGATACGCTAACCTTACTTCAGTTTACTTAGTTTAATGCATGTTTTTTTACAAAACTTAGTTTAAATGATATGAGATTTCTTACCTCACCTTTTCTTAACGACCATTGAGGACTTTTTGCTAAATAACCCTCTATAGAAAGCTTATCACGACTACTTCGCCGGCTAGACGGTACCAGCTTAAAGCTGTATAGGGTACTTATATAGGATCCTTCAAGATCTGAATTCTAAAATGAACTTTGAGAGGCTTTCATTAAAGGCTTCCCCCGTATAAGCTTGCCGCAATTACGTCATCGGCTAACCGGGTACCTGCTGAAAGCTCTAAAGAGTAACTCGCGAGGACCGTGGTACCGGTACGATTCGCGGGTACCTCTTGGAGAGCTTTGAACAGCTCCCTCTGTATAAGCTTGTCGCCGCTACGTCTCCGGCTAGTCAGGAACCAGCTGAAACCTTTAAAGAGTATCTCGCTAAAACTGCAGTACCGGTACGATATGTGCGATCATTTATGGATTCTTTAAAAGCTTTTTAATAGAAGCTTCCAACGTGTAAGCTTGCTGCAACTCCGTCATCGTCTAGCCGGATACTTGCTGGAAGCTCTGAAGTAGAGTATCTGGCGAAGGCCGTGGTACCTGTACGATTCGTGGGTACCACTTTGCGATTATTTAAAGCCTTTTTAACAAAAGCTTCCTACATATAAGCTTGTCACAACTAGGCCAGCGGCTAGTCGGGTACCAGCTGGAAGTTTTAAACAGTATCTCGCGAAAACTTTGGCTTCGGTAAGATTCGTGGATACCATTTGTGGATACTGTAAACGTTTTTTAATAGAAGCTTTCTCCATATGAGCTTGCCGCAACTACGTCATCGGCTAGCCGGGTACTTCTGAAAGCTTCAATGAGCAACTGGACATAGCGCTTCTTTAAAAGTTCTATAACAAAATTTCCATTCGTATAAGGTTTTGGCAATTACATCAGGGAGTAGACCGGTACCTGCTGAAACCTTTAAAGAGTACCACACGAAAACTGTGGTACCTGTACCATTCGTGGGTACCATGCATGGATACTTGAGAAGCTTCTTAACAGAAGCATCCTCCGTATAAGCTTGTCGCAACTACGTCAATGGCTAGCCGGGTACTTTCAGAAGGCTCTAAAGAGTATCTGGCGAAAACCGTGGTACCGGTACCATTCGCAGGTACCACTTAGCTATTATTTAAAAGATTTTTAACAATAGCTTCCTCCGTGTAAGCTTGTAACAATTAGGTCACCAAATAGCCTGGTACCCACTGAAAACTTTAAAGAGTACCACGCGAAAACTGTCGAAGCGGTACGATTCGTGGGTACCGTTTATGGATTCCTTAAAAGCTTTTTAATAGAAGTCTCCTACATATAGGCTTCCCGCAATTACGTCTTCGGGTAGCCGGGTAATTGTTGAAAGCAACAAAAAGTATCTGGCGAAGACCGTGGTAGAGGTACAGGTACGATTCGCGGGCACCACTTAGCGATTCCTTAAAAGATGTTTAAGAAAAGCTTCGACGGTGTAAAGCTTGCTACATCTACGTCATCGGCTAGCCAGGTACTCGCTGAAAGCTCTAAACAGTGCCTCACGAAGATTGTGGTACCGGTACGACTTGTGGGTACAATTTATCGATTCTTTAAAAGCTTTCAAACAAAAGCTCCCTCCGTATGAGCTTATCGCAACAACGTCATCGGCTAGCCGGGTACCCACTGAAAGCTCTGAAGAGTACATCGCGGTACTGGTACTATTCGCGGATACTACTTAGCGAAGCATGAACCAGTCGACCGCCGGCAACCGCGATCGAAACACGCATCCATAGGTGACTCGGTTTTGAAAAAACACACTGAGAACTTTTGTTGCGTCCTTAAGCTTTTTGGGTTTATAGTATTTTTTCGGTTTTTAGAGATATAAGTGGGGTGAAACCTGGACAATTGACAATAGAAGGGCTGCTATAGGTGAGTTAAGGGCTTTCAAATATTAGAACGTTTTTACAAGTTTGGATTGAATTGTTTTTCTCATGCAACAGTGTATCTTTTTGAAATGAGACGTATTTATTAAAATCCTTCGGTTGCCTGCTATATGTACCATCATGAAATAGTGATTGCAGTAATACGACATAGTGGGAAGGAATACTTGGAGAAATTTTATTGACTTTTCGACTATTTTTTAACTTTAAGGGGAAACTGCTAAATAGCAGGCAAAGGTGACCTACCAGAACGAAAGTTTTATTAAATCAGTTTTCTGGGTGAAGGGTGATAGGTATATTGTCTGAAATTTGGCATCCTTGCTCAAATGTATCTCTCTAAAATACTGTTTGCCGCATTTCGTCATTTTGAGTAGCCTCAAATTATTGTTTTTAAGTATCTCCTTTCAATTTTTTCGAGTTAAATATCGGACGACACAGGATATAGAAAATCGTGAATTAGAGGCAGGTCTTCAGATACAAGGAAGAAGAGACATAGATTTCGTAGTTCGGATTGAGCAAATTGTCTTCCTGCCCAAAGTGTGAGACCGTCTCAAAATTGGCATAAAACTACCAAGATTCTTTTGTTAGCTTACTAGCTAGAGAAATTAAACGTTGTAAAAAATAAATCTGACTTTAAAAAACTATAAAAAAGCGCATCCATCATCAAAAAATAAAAAAATAAGTCTTAGGGCAAACAACATAAGTTGTTGTTTGAAGCTACATCTAACAAAATTTAAGATTTCGCAAATAAGTGGCACCGGTAGATACATACTGATACCGTTGACATTTTGAAGCACTATTTAGTCTTTCATGGTCAATGAGTCATCTCTAGAAATACGTGCTTGTGAATATTTACCAAATAAAACTAATATTCAGCCTGCTATCTCTCTGAGTCAAACTAGTGAGAATTACCATATTCGCTCTCTTTAATATACTCATACAGATAGGCATTATATTTACTGAAGAAGTTAACGTTTTCTGATATATGGAGATGTCATTTAGCCATTCATAATACAGTTTGTTAGTACAGGTGTTACATGCATAAGACAAATTAATATCATAGGGCTTGTACTGACTTTGCCTCATATATCCTTATCCTGTCAATTCAAAATGTTAGATTCCAGTATCAGCAGCCTGTAGTATTATAGCCATCACATCATTTTCCTTTATACCGAAGCAGCAGCCTAAATACCAGTGCACCGCAGTTGCTATGAGGGACAAAGGAACGATCGTATCGGCCAGTTATGGATGTACGAAATTCGACACAGTTAGGGTAAGAGGCCGAAGTCAGACAGGCCTGTCTGGCAGGCACATCGCGCGGCGGCATTATGGTGAGAGAGAGAGAGCTCTGAGGAGCAAAGCCTGTTGACAGCGGTAGCGGTAGCTAGATAGCCTTAGTCGGTCAGTGCGAAAGGGTCCCTAGATTGACCGTTAGAGAAGAGTCATCGATCAGTCGGACATCACTCCTCTAGCAGCATTGAGCATGGATAATGTAGTCGGGATGACAGCACCCCAAGCATGTGCTGCCTGAGCCTTGTACAGGGTAAGGATCATAAGTGGAGTAAAAAAGTATGTTCTACTGGTATTGACGAGATCTGTTCCTGCCAGATCAAGTCTTCGGTGATCTGCACCCCGACCAGCCGAAATGAACGGCTTTTTGGTAAAACTCGGCCATCCGTCGAAACAATGATAAGATCCAGGTCTCTCGTTAGAGAACATATCTAGCTGCCGCATAAAATGCGTACCAGGTAACAGTTCCACCTGTTACCTTGGGTAGTTTTTATCTGAGGATAGGCAAAAACTTCCACTAAATGTCTATATATGGTCCTCAATTTCAAGGTTGATGCCTCAAATTCACTCTTCCTTTGTCTCTCTGTCTTTACGTGGACATCCAACATGTCATTTAAACTTAATTTACCTTGCGTTAAAGCAAATATGGTCATTCCATCTCAGTTTCTATTCGCTTATCGCTGCCTGTCCAGGCATTTATGGCCCTTTGGCTGATGATTAAACCTGTCATTTGCTCTTACTGCTAAACTATCAATAGCCTCCATTGTAAAAAGGTCACTGTTTGAATCTTTTGAAAAGCTCATTACTATTTAATTTACCTTCTGTACAAATCCAAGCCAACACCCCATGAAATTATGAAATCAATTGATTTAAAAAACACTCTGTTATTTAATGTCTGATTTTTTAATTGTAGTTGTGTATACAGCCTTTTTCATGAGCATCCATTACGGTAGAATGACAGCTGATTATCCAGTAATATTTCAAAATTCCCCATATCGGCAAAGGACACACAATGCTGACGGATCCGTCAATTCCAGGTAGACAGAGCCATATTTTGTTTTTTTGTATGCAATAGATTCATTTTGCACTTGCTAAAAGCCATTTTATTAAGAAAAGTTCATTTGCATACAAAAAACAAAACAAGTTTCACTACATTTTTGCACCAGATTCATTTTTGCCAACGTTGCAGACTAACACAAAAATGTTACTTGTTGATCAGCTGTTCACCTCAGAGGACGTCAAAGCGTGATGGATACTCGTGAAATAGGATAGGTATATTTAAATTGAGATTACGTAAACTGGATGTGACTTCTTACCTGATTGTGACTTTTTTGAAGAATTGTGAGTGCTATTTAACTGATGTGGATAATTTGTATTGAGGACATGGTAGATATGTTACACTATTGAGTCTTATTTTTATATTTTATCCTAATCACCCACGAACAAGGAGTCCTTCCTGTATATTCTCTTATTTCTTACTTTTTTCATGAATTGTACGAATAAACTATACTTTATTGTATACTATATGAACAGCGAATAACAAAGTGCTACAAACGGGTGAATTAATAAAATTATCAGGAATTTTATTAATTACGAAGCTATAGCGGGTCAAATCATGTGTACCGCATTTTCGCTCGACGCCAAGTGCCTACCAAGTGTCCTCTCCCCGTCGATACGCAGAAAGGGTCCCACCACCATCTTTATGACCTGCCTTTTCCTTGAAAACCAACAAAACACACGCTAGATGTAAACAACGTAAAACCAATAACCACAAATGCATTATCGCTCTTGAAATGATCGATAACAAAAACCATCTAAACAAAAAGACAAGATATTTCAAGTTCAAGACCAGACGCTGATGATGATCATATTCAGGTTCAATGAAATAATTAAAAGCATGATTACTGCATTATTTAAAACATGCGAACGTAACCATATATCAGCGCGTTATGCTTCAGTTGCATCTTCAACTGGCTGCATTATTATGGAAGATATAAGCTTATGTTTTATGTTCTTCTCATGCCGTTGAGTTTATGTAGTTTGCATTTTATGTGTAAATTGCGTTACGAAGATTGTTATTAGAGGAATTTGCAAAGTATTCTTCGTTGGAAATTATGTTTTTACTTCCTATGCCAAATCTGGCCAGGAAGTATTGCAATCGCGAAAAATTTCGAAATTGAGATATTACTATGTTTTTTTGTATGTAAATACATCATGAAAAACCATGACACTCAGATCCTTCGGACTGTCTGTCGGATTGTTCGCTAATTATATAACCACCTCTAACTTGAGAAGTACCGCTCAGGTATTGATAAAATTTACATGCAAGGTTACTATTAATTACTTTTACCATTACTAATGTACTTTTTAAAACTCCGTCTACTTAGTTTTTTTTGACGTTTCAAAGGCTCCTGATCATTTTCGGAAAATATTTTCTAGGGGTTGAAACTTGGGGGTTGGGGGCTCTAGGGGGTATGTAGTTGTAAATGTTACGTCTCTAGTATTAGTCAAATACGTTCTATCATTAAAAAGCTTCTACTCCAGCCAGATGTATAATATGCTCATAATTTGAAATGCAATCCTTAACGTTGTGTGCACGGCGTGGTGCTGCATCGTCGTGGAGCCCATTGCTGACTGTGCAATGGGTAACAAACTCCAGCTGGACTGCTGTTGTGTCGTCACTGACATACCGCTGCAGCAAAAATATTTATATAATAATAAAACTGGCGGTACGGTGAAGCGTTCACAAGAAGCCGTGCTGCAGTGGAAATGCATATCGTAGATCGCATCTCACTAAATATTTGTACCTTCTGAATTGAGATGTTGCGTCACACAAAGTGACCAACGTATGTACATACACTTCCAACAGGTAGTCCAGCATCATTATTGCCAGCGGTTTAGAGGAAATGGACAAAGCTTATGGGTAGTGCTAGTCTCTATTTAGGGGGCGAAGTTTAGCATAATGCTACTCTGCCACTTAACCCAAAAAAAAGAAAAACTGAAAAAACAATACATAAATACATTGGATAAGTTAGAAGATTACAAATGTAGGTGTATAAAAATATGGTATATAACATATATAAGTGAAGGCTATTCAATATTTCATGATTTAAAAGTGTAAAATTGTAACAGTCATACAAAACAAAGGAATGCTATATTGGAAATATTTTTGTGTGGGGTGACAGATAAATTTTATCAACTAATTTATATACTTCTATTCAAAATAAATTTCTTCATATGTGTTTTAAATTCATCATATGAGTAATTTTGTGGATCGAGGTAGAGCATTGTAAAAAATACTCGTAATTGCATTGTAGGTGAAGCATTTTATTATTATTATTTTTATTATTAAACAGCAAATTTGAGTTGAGTACAAGTACTATAAACTCAAACACAAAAATAGATAATAGTGTACAGACAAAAGAAATGTAACAATTTGACAATCTTAGCACTTCTGAAGTAGACATATACAGAATGGGAACAATATGTTAAGCACTGCGGTGTCTATCGTAATTGTTTTTGAAACTGTTGACGGATTCCGAGTTCACTACATAAGATGGAAGACTGTTCCATGCATCGAAGACACGGTTTGAGATGAAGCGCTGACGAGTAGAGGTTCCAAAAGCTTCCTTCTGCAATTTGAAGTTATGGCCTCTGAGACTGTTCGTTGCCAGACGAAACAGATGCGACATGTCCACACCAAACAAATTATGCAGTGCTCTGAAAGTGATGATGAGATCTCCTCGTACTCTTCTATCAGCAAAAGCAGGCAGGTTATATAGCTCGAGGCGGTCTTCATAACTTGGCCTACGTGTGCCATATGACATACGAAAGAATGTCCTGTGGAGGTGCATTGTGAGTGTTTCAGTGAATCGAATGTCACTAGAATGGATATTGCTTCTAGATATCAGCTTATTTCTCAAAAACGGCGGAATGGATGACAGTACAAGCTTGTGGGTGTAACATAGGTAACTAGGTGTAGCTCACACAGTTCATTTACTCTCAACCACTTCATGACATTGAAAAAAGGGCTGATATGATCATATTTTTCAAATTATTGATCAACCTACAACATGAGTTTTGGATTTTTTGGAGACTTGCTAGAGATATTGAGTCAAGAAATGGAAGATAAACTAAATCGCAATAACTAATTTTGGACATTACCAAAGATTCACACAAATTTTTTTTAGTTGTAAAGTCAAGAAATTTTAGATTAAGATATAATTGACGTGAAATTGAAAAACAACTCTTACTGATATTATTTACATGTGGTATAAAATTTAGATATTCATCTAAAGTTACGCCCAAGTTTTTCACTGACTCACTTACTTCTATAGTCTCACCATTTAATTTTACTTTAAAATTTCTTTTGGCATCACTTCTAAATAGTTTTGGTGAAAAAATGATGACTTTAGATTTTGAAGGGTTCAACTGAAGGTTGTGATTTTTTGCTTAGAGACTAATTGATGTTATATCTTCATTTACCTAAGATTCAGCATTTCGAATGTCGTGATTATGGAAATGTGAATCGTCGGCAAAGAATCGGATATTACAATATTTAACAACTGAATGGAGATCAGAAATATACAAAATGAATAGGAGTGGCCCAAGTACCAGACCCTTGAGACACTTCGGAGGAAATGAGGCACTTTGAAGATAGAACCATGTCGATGTGTACCCTTTGATATCGATTTCCTAAGAAGCTCTGAATCATTTTTGAGGCAGAGTCAGAAAAACCAAAATATTTGCACTTGGCTACAAGAAGACGATGATTTATGGTATCGAATGCCTTAGAGAAGTCAAGAAGAACTAATGATGTGATGATATGTTGATCCCAGGTTCTAACAATGTTATCGGTTAAGTCTAATAGGGCACCTGCAGTGTTATATCCTTTTCGATAACCGCATTGTTTGGGAGGCAAAATTGTATGTTTAGAGAGATAATCGTAAATTTGGGCTTTTTCTAATAATTTGGACAAAACAGGTAAAATACTAATTGGTCTTAAATCAGAATATAATTATGGCTTACTTATTTTAGCTAGAGGTAACACTAATGCTTCTTTCCATGATTCTGGAAGGAATGCCCTTTCTAAACAGGTATTTATGATGTGTAAAATGTGACCTGAAATCGCAAAGAAGCATAGTTTTAGCATTTTGAGTGACACGCCATCGCTTTCTAAGGCATTCGATTTCAGAGCAACATTTGGATATTAGGAGTACGTAAGTGTAGCGTTCTGCTATGATTTTATAGATGATTAATCAACTGTTATGTCTACACATATATTCTTCCGAATTTTATGATCCTTAAATGTTCCAACCATTTTGCCTCACCTCAAATTTGTGTTACTCCATCTACGATGGTTCTCTGCTCTGAATATTTCGTCAAGTAGATTGACTATGTACTTATGACGCATTGATATAGAACAGACACGGACTGACAAACCGACGTAAATGAGAAACACTGACTTGAGTGATAGAGAAATCTTTCAGCAACACCAAACTTGTGAACCAAAGTTGGAATATGATCGCGAGTTTAATACTTCCATCGTGTAGACAGTCGTAGGTTTTAGAAATTGATTCAGAGGCGACGGAAATAAAATCGCAACATTTCTTGCTTGAACGGGATGAATCTTGTAGGTTGGAAGTACTAGGCGGTAAATGGTTGTAAATTGTTGCATATTTGGTGTTAGTGAAAGACTTTTTATTTATTATATATATATATATATATATTATTTTCTCTACATCTGATCTGTCATGGAAAAAGAAATATGATAGATTTTCTTTATATAGTTTAATATGCAGATCTACTGTTATCGTCATCTCCGCCTATGATGAGGTAATAAATATCAGCGATACAGGTCAGTTTACTTTGGCCAACGTGGAAGTCTAAACATCGTATCTACAGTAAGTAACCAGAAATTTTGAAATGTATGTGGTTTGATTCGACTAGACTTGAAAATGTCTTATCGTTATTTTAATTTGGTTTACTATCAGAAATGCAGCATGCCTTCTGGGTCACAATTAAATAAAATTGGTACGTGTGGCAAATATGTATTCATATTTACGAAGTAAATTGGTAGGTAGTGCATATGGTAACATCAGCCGGCAGAACAAAAGCGTTAAGTGCAGTAAAATAACACCTCCAAGTGTCATTTGTAAAGCAGACCACACACTAGAGAAACTAAGAATTTTCTACATTGCTGTCGTAAAAAATTTGATTCTTTCACAAAACGTGCATCGTACTCCATTCCGTATAATTTTTGAGATGCACGCTTTTGTAGGTATAGACATGTGAGTTGGGGTGGCTGAAGCTCAAAAATTGTTTTATGTTTTACTTCCTAGGCCTACTGGGGAGGAAGTATTGTAATTGCGAAAAGTTTCGGGTATGAGATACATGCTATGCTTTATATTATGCATGATGGTGCATCGGAAACGAAACAGACGTATTTACTGGCAGCTCAGTTTTTTTTTTTGAAAAACCGTCGACTTTGTTTTCGAGGGGGCTTGGCAGAAAATCACGTTGACACGTGCAGCCCCCTGGGCGGGGGTGACACCAACCCTAAAATCTTAAATGGAAAGGGGGGTCGTGATACCTTATTTTAAAGGTCTTTCAATTCCCTTTATAATGATATCAAATTAATGTACTTCAGTTCAGCAGTTTTTTTTTCGCTACATCATTAAATTAATTCATGGCCAACTAAGGAAATACATCATCTCTGAATTTAGGACTGAAATTATACATTCTCGGGATCAACCTTAGAAATTCTATTCACCTGTGCAAAAAGTCAATGTGGCGTCGTTAAAGTTGACTGGAGGACAATGGACGAATTACTTTGAATTGCGAATCCTTCTAAGCGGCCTTTTATTAATTACCAAAATATGCAACTTTTGCAATATTTTCATGATGGCTGGGCTGTAGTTGCCATAATTCTACAGTAAATATGCAAGTGCATGGCATCGTTTAGCGTCTCAGATTTTTCATCTAAAGAACTGGCTTGCGAACGACTGCCCACGAGCTATGACTGCGTTGACTCAGATGCCACTATCACGCCATTTTTATGACTCTCCGATACTTGGAATGGAAATAGTTCTAAGATATTTTCTGATACGATTATAAAGCACTTACTTCAGGGTAGGCTTTGACAAAGTGTTTGAATAAATGAAAGCAAAGGTATTCTACAGTTTTTCTATTACAGCATGACTATTTTTTGACCTTATTCGATGTGAAATATTCTGTGCCTCTTCTGATCTTTTCTTCGTGTTGCTTTTGAATGCTTAAACCGTCAGACGGACTTGCCAAGCTTCTACATCTCATTCTAACTCAAATGAGCTTGCCAATAGAGGGCACATTAGTCCCTAATCATTGATTTTAAGCTGATCTGAAAGAAATGCCAAAATATCTTTCTACGTATACATTGTATCTCAAAAGGCAAAATGTACCTTTTCTCATGAATTTTCAATAGAATTGGGATTTTTTTTGATATGCAGTTTATACCACTTTTTTGAACAGTTTTCGAGTTATTGCTAATAATTCCAAGAGAAATTATATTCCACATTTAGTGGAAACAGTGTTTTTTTTTTCGTACGTGACTTATCTCAAACCAAGTCAGACATTTGTTGTGAAAATGTTGTAATAGACATATATATTCCAAATAGTTCTGTTGATTCCCAGATGTATGATCGCAGGTCCAGTATTTTTTCACAACCTCTTTTACTAGAGAATGTAAATTAATTTAATAGTTGGATAAGGAGAGGCGGACCGATCAATTGACAAGCGAGATCTCCCGATATGACGTGTCTCGTCCTTTCTCTAGGGGCATGAAAAAGGAGATGTTTACCAGGAGAATCCTACAAGATAATTCCAACATGCGCCTGGCTTTGTGTTTTTTGCACCAATGTAATATATTGGAACAATTTATTAACAAAGACGTAGTTGGTTTTTCTTGAAATTAATAGTAATGACTCAAAAATGTTTGAAAAAGGTTAAATAAACCTTATATGAGAAAAGGTAATCGAATTTGAAATGTTTGAGGTAAAAGGTACATTTTGCGGTTTCTACATACCATCTATAAATAGAAAGAAGGTTCAGCACTTTTTCCGGATCAGCTTAAGATCGATGAAAATGAAATTTTTATGAACATTCAGTCAAATATCTAAACAATTGACAATCAAAACCATATGTTGTATGATATCAAACTTCTTGTTTTCAGAAGCTCTATTCAAATATGCATTAAGATATAGAGTGCTATGACACGAAGTTATGGAAGACCCTGAATATATTAAAATAATGTTAAAGTATGCACTAGTAACATATGAAGGTTGCGACGAAAAGAGAGTTTTGCTATACTTTCCCGTTTACTCATAAAACTACTTTCCATATTCGTTGGGTCACCCTGTATAGTCTATTTCACGCTTATTACCAATCTTTCAACAAACAGTAACGCTTCATTGGTCTATCATCGATGTCAAAAATATTTTCATTGATGGTACACTTAACATAACCACGTATTTAGGGGTTATTGCAGGTTTAACGTGTACTACGCGACAGTGTAATATGTGATTCTGCAAAAAAAGTCTTGGATCGAGCACTTTTTATATGGAAATTTGTTTTTCCGAAATACCATTTTTCAGCAATACCTGGACGTCATATATCAACACTGAGCAAGGGACCACAAAACATATATATCCTATTTCACGAGTATCTATCACGGTAGAATGACAGCTGATTATCTAGTAATATCTCAAAATTCCCCATATTGGCACAGGACACATAATTCTGAAGAATCCGTCAACGTCAGGTAATCAGAGTCGTATTTTGTTTTGTTTTTTTGCACGCTACATATTTATTTTGTACTTGCTAACAATTCTTTTATTTAGAAAAGTTCGTTTGCATACAAGAAATAAAACGCTACAAACAAGTTCTTCTAGATTTACACCCGATTAATTATTGCCAAGGTCGCAGAGTAACATAAAAATGTCACTAGCTGATCAGCTGTTCATCTCAGTAGACGCTAAAGCGTGATCGATACTCGTGCAGTGACGTTGGAGAATAGACCACAGAAGATCGATTATCGATCACAGGATGGAGAATAGACCATATAAGATCGAATATCGATCGCAGGATAAAATGAATGCGAATTTTGACAGCGCTGCGTTGCCATATTTTACCACCTGAGAGGTATCTCATCGTAGTTGACTATTTTGAATTATGTTAACATGTTAGAGCTCAAAAGTTCTATGACAATTAAAACGGTATAAACATTATGTTTTATATTATATTTATATTTTATTTACTATGTTGTTTTAGAAAATACTGTTTTAGTCACTGTTTTTGTTCATTTGTTGTTTTTGATTATTTCTTGCTTATGTTTTTTCAGAAAGTATTGTTTTAGTTACTGTTTTAGTTTATTTATTGTTTCTGATTATTTATTGTTTATGTTATTATTTATTCACTCATTTTAAGCACATACGCCTTTTTATTTTTTTATTTTCATTGTCATAAAACTTTTTAGCTCTAACGTGTATGATTCACTGTTATATTTCAAATCACACTCAACCACGATGTGACTATACACCTCTCAGGTGGCGAAATATGGCAACGCAGCGCTGTCAAAATTGGCATCCATTCCATCCTCTGATCGATAATCAATCTTCTGTGGTCTATTCTCCAACGTCACTTGTTCTGTGTTGATGTTTGCCGTCTAAGCATTTCTCACAGAGTACTACCAGAGGCGACACTCAGTCAAAAAACCAGGTTATATCAACGCCAACTTGAGTTCTATGTGTTTGGTGGGATTCTTGTTGCTGTGACATTTAGAGGTTATCCGTGGAATGCACGTGACTATAAAACAGTTTTATCAATACAAATCAATTATCTGGCCTAAATGCACTTGGGGAAATAATAAACACAAATTTCTTCGTTCTGTAGTTTGACATATGAGATTCGTGACGTCAGGCTAATAACGCGTAACAACCCCTAGGAAAAATCCTCCAGACGCTAATGAGGATTAGCGGGAAATGTGGTAAATAGACCGACAGCAGGTGTTGCATCGGTATAATCTGTGGTATTGCTGGAAAATGGTATTTTGGAAAAACAAATTTCCAAATATAAAAAGTGCCTCATCCAAGATTTTTTTACTGCAGAATTACATGTTACACTGGCTTGTACATGTTAAACCTACAATAACACCTAAATACGTGGTTATGTTAAGTGTACAATCATTTTTTATGCTAGACGTATCTACTTAACATAACAAGAAATTTTGGACGGTTTAGCTTTTTGGTGCTAAATGTATTTTACGTTTTTACAGCAAATAACAAATCCACAAGGCGGATCTGGATGAATACTTAGGCAACCACCATTACAGCATTTTGTAAAGTACGTTTGCCTGGGCGTGTTGATATAACTTGAAAAGTATTTTACTTTATCTGCAAATTAATTAAATGTGTCGAGATTGTGCAGTTATGGTATTTCAGCATTTAGGCTGTGCCTACAACCAGTACAGTGCAAAAATCGAAGAATTCCAATAGTAAAAGTATAGCATTTTTGCTCAACGAATACTACATAGTTTGTCTCTGGTAGAACATTGATTATACCAATAATTAAGGATGCAAATTAATAGTCGATTTATTTTACTCGGATTAATAATTTAATTGGTTGCCAATTTAAATCCTTACTATATTGTCCACGTGCGAAAAACTAAATCAAATAATTCGATCTCCTTGATATTTAGATATTCTGCTTTAAAATCAGTTATATGTTATATGTCACCTTTTATTTTTATCTCCAAATTATCCTGGAAGTATTTTCCATCAAATAGTTGTTAGTTGTTACAAATTACTCGTTTTTCAGAATGAGAAAATTATCCATACATTTGTTATGGAAATGACAGGTAAGTTTTGTTATATAATCGTGATTGCAACGATTACGTTTGTATTGAATTTATATGTAAACTTATGGCTTGAGCCAATTACAATGCAACAAATAAATTAGACCACTTCAGGAATAGCGCCAGAGCGGCAGCGTTTATAACGAATTAAAGTATCAATTAATCAATCTTACAGTAATTATTATTTGTTCAATTATCATCTGCGGATCTCGAGAATGGAAACGTCTTTCAATATGATAATAGCTCGTAACTCCTAATCATGCATGGCAAGGAAAGAGGCTAATATGAGTACGATCATCATAATAATATACGTCTTAATTATTAGGACTTGCTACGCCAACTGGCGAGGACGTACTGTAATCTCCAAAAATTTCGAAATTGAGATATGTTACTTCGATGTTATATGACATGTATGGTATATCACGCTAATCTTATAGCCCCTATAACTTCAGAAGTACCGCTCGGATTTTGATGAAATTTTCAAAAAAGGTTACTACTATGCCAAGGATAAAAAAGCTTTGTAGTTTTTGAAAATTGGTTCAGTGGTGGCGGAGCTAGGGGCTAGGGGCAAAAAAATCGCTCAAACTTCGTTTTTTTGACGTTTCATTGGCTCTTGATCATTTTTGGAAAAATGTCTTTTTAGGGGTTGAAACTTGGGGGTTGGGGGCTGTAGGGTGTAGGGAGTTGTAAATGTTACGTCTTTAGTATTAGTCAAAGACGTTCTTTCATTGGGGAGCTATTGAACGTCTAATAAACTTTTAGTTTGTCCCAATATTCTTAGATTAGAAATTTTATCATCCGAGCATGGAAATGCACCCGACACCATTAACAATAACCACCCAATAACTCTAATTCTTAAACAATTTTAAGATCAGTGTCTGCTTGTCATTATTAGTATAAGGTCGTTATTAATAGAGGATGGCAGAATTCCAATAGCTCCTTATCGAAAAGCTTCCCCGTAACAACATGGAGATTAAATGATAAAAGTCTGATGTATTATGTGCTCGTAATTCGAAATAACTTGCAGTCGTTGGCGTGGCATCGTCATGTGCAAAGGGTCACAAGTTCCAACTGGTGAATCTGCGGTGGTGTCGTCACTGACACACCGCTACAGGGGAATATTTATATTTTCGTAATATTTGGATATTATATAGGAATACGTACCACTTTATGGTTCTGCGATGCTTTTGTAAATGATGACTCACCTGTTTTTCATATGTATAAGTATATTTTTCTGAATTTTGTGATTCCACCCATTTCGTCTAACCTTTAATTTGTGTTACTCCATCTAAGACGGTTCTCTAAATATTTCATCAAGTAGATTGACTCAGTATCTACTTATGACGCATTGATATACAACATACACGGACCGACAAACCGACATAAATGGAAAGCGCGGAGGAACTGCGAACAAAAAAAAATCGCTGGAACTCAGTGTTACAACGTTTCGGAGATTCCTGCTAATTTTCAGACAATGTTTGGACGGGATGAAAATTGTAGGTTGGAAGTTGTATGCGGTAAATGGTTGTAAATTGTTTCATATTTGATGTCAGTGAAAACCTTCTATTATTAAGAAGCTGTTTCCTGATACTATGCTCCAGCCACACATTTCTGCTACATCTGCAATGGAAACAGAAATATGATATAATTACTTTACCTAGTTCGATATGTAGAAGTCGAAGATTCATCGTACCTAAGTGAACCTGCATATCACGATCCGATTTCGCGTTTTGAAACGATTTAACGCATCCCTTTTCTTTGAAACCTCCAACAAAGGCGTAGGAAGTCAATATATTTAACGCCATTTTTTTAAACGTAATGTCCTGTATGAATATCGTCTCATGGTACCTTAGAGGCTGGTGTATATACATGTCCTACACCCAAAGCTAGCTATACCACACGGGTAGCCTCTTTTAGGAATATATGTACATATATTTTTTGATTAGGCTTTTTGTAATGACATTGATGAAACTAATCTGACTCCAAGAATCTGTCACTCTTTTTTTATACTGAAGCAGCCACACATGTAGAAACTTAAATACCAGGGCACTGCGGCTACTGAGGAGCTTAAAGAAACTTTGTCAATCCATTTTTGGACTGTCTAAGGTTAGTACAGTATAGTAGAGTCAATGTCCAATATTGTGTTTGATGTGTCTCCAAGAAGTGATAACCTCCAGACTTCTAGAGAGAGAGGAAGTCGCTGTTAGTCTTCTTGATCTACTAATCCACAAATAAAGTACGACTTACATGGATTTTGTAGAATTTGATATATTACAATTACGCCACAGTTTTTCTCACATAACCATCTCACACTGACAATCAAAACGCTTGACTGTCACACCAACTTTTGGCTTCTTTGGCCATAGATGTTATCGTGACCACCACATCTTTCCCAACCTTCTGTATTTTGCTAGCATTAGGTTGTATTAACCTATTATTAATATGCATGACGTAACTGAAGTTCAACCCTCTGGTGATTGCCAGATAATCTATAATGCTGCCAAAGGTAAGGCCACATACATTGTAGATACTTCCTACGTTGAATGATAGCTTATGGGTCATGCTTAAAGCTGATTTTGCAATGTGGGTCACCATATCAGCGTCTGGAAGCATATCTGAGTTACTTCCATAAGGATACAGGATCTTGGGTTTAGAGGCGCCCTCTTGGAGAGATACAAACAGTTTGATGTTTCCTTGGAATGTGTCTATTGTGTGGATCAAAGCTGTGCTTTCTGGTCTTCGATGTCGGTAGCTCTGTTTCCACTCCATGATTGTTTTGATAAAGAGCTGGTTCTTGATTCTGGACATGTCGCTGGTGCCTAAAATAAGGAAATTTTTGTGATCTTGAACGGTAGAGGCAAGAGAGAATGCAACGAATGACTCTGTAGCCCCCGCAGGGGTATTACATCGTTTTTTTGTGACATGATGAAAGTTTTCCTATAGATGTCAACTTGGAACTAGCTGTTGTTTACTTGATGTGCACTCGTTGTATAGATGTGGTCTAAACGTCATGATGGTTGAGCTAACATTGTATGGCTCTGATGTAATGTAACATCTGCTTCAGATATGGCATTATTAGAAGTCTAAGCTGTAAGTTATATACTATATCTGGAAGTAACGGGCGAAACGGCAGTGTAAAGGTGCTTAGTGAGGATTTGCGTGCCTAATAATCTGTGTTGATAATTCTCTTGATTTCTTGTCTCAAATACACTTACTTGAGATGTATGCTTCATCCTGGAAATTACATATGCAAATTTGAAGAATTTAAAAAATGAGAGAGGTATAAAAAAAATCCCTGGTTGGTGAAGTATATTACATCTAACAAGTGAGGAAATAAGCTACAGACTAATATTTGTGAAACGTTAAAAGGTTTTTACATTTTGATGTTTGCCATTTAAATTTTTGGGAAATTTACTTTGCGATGTCAAGTAGAAAATACAAATCAGCGCCTAGAACGAGGCACTGCGAAAAGGTTATGTGTGTCATGAGTCATCCCTAATGATTCTATAATGTGGCTGATGATCAGAACGCGGACGCGGTAGTGATTTTCGGTAATGCTTTTCAAAGTTATTTAAAAGGCAAAAAACCAGGAAAAATCATAATTTATAGCTCTGAACCTCTCTTCAGACGGGAGAACACATATAACCCGTCAGGTACAGCTAATAGGTATACTTCATGGCCAGCGAGCAATCGCGGAATGAACTATTTGCACACTCGGAGCTATCTAGTCAGCAGGTTGACATGTTTGCATTTTTTGACCTTAAAAAGGCTTTTTACTCAATATCTCTACGTCGGTTTCACTGACCTTGGGTTTGACCTGCATTACCGCCTTTGGTTTAGCGGTTCGTCAATAAGTGGCTCGGCATCTATCGAGGAATTTTCTATGCAAAGTTGCCCAACTGACGGAAAATGCTTGAAAATTGCTACATTTATACATACAAATGGGTGATAAACATCCCCACCATGAATAGACGTCCAAACAAAAATAAATTTGTTCAAAAATTCTTTAATCTTTTGTGTACGCCATGTTTTCGGCTTGATCAGCCTATCTCTCTCTATTTATTTGCCTGGTCTATCTTCTCTTGGTACAGGGCATTCCAAGACTTCGTGTTCAGATTTTGGTTAGATTCCTTATAATTTTTGGTGATTTTTGAAATTTCCACACTTATTCACCACCATAGTAGCCTACTAGTTTCAAAATGGAAGCCGACTTCAGTTTCTTTAGCTATAGAAAGCTATATAGAGAAATTTAAGCACAAGAGTAATCACCTTTAGAGTTTTCAACATTCACTTTTGAGACTTACCTAGGATAATGGGATAGTTAACGGATAAATTCACCAAAGTATTGCCAGGCGTGAAGCTATCAGTATAAGAATCAGGATTTGAACAGGGCACTATGAAGTAGTCAATGTTGGTCTGCTGAGGTTCAGATTTGACCAGGTGGTCGATCATGTAGAGCGCAGCTGCAATGGATATCCAGTCGCAGCCATTGGAACCAGCTTCAATGAAAGTGATGGTCCGATTTGCTGCACAGCGGCAGTAGGTTTCACCTTCTTGATATGGAGAGCTATGGACAAATGTGGGTCATGAAGGTGTTTGACCATGGTGATGTACAATGTCGTCAGAGAAGTCGCAATCATTTGAAGCAAACTATTTCAAAGAAGCTGATGTTTTTTTGTTGCCTTGTGAGCGGTCATCACCCTCTTGGTATGAAGAGCTGTAGACGAATGCGGGTCAATAAGGTGTTTGACCACTGTGTCGTACAAGGTCGTCAGAGAGGTTGCGATTTTTTTGATCAGCCCCTTCAAAGGAGCTAACTTTTTGGGTAATGGATCTTGGTCCATTCGTCACCTTCTTGACTGGAAGAGTTGTGGGTAAATATAAAGCATGAATATCTTTTATAACTGTAATGTGCAATACCCCCCTTTGCCCTTTGGGGCCAACCATTTTTAAAGATTCCGATTTTTTGGTAGGATGCCTTGGAGTAGTCGTTATTCTTTTAGTAAGAACAGCTGTGGACAATTGTGTGTATGGAGGTATTTGATCAATGTGTCATACAATAAAGTCAAAGTAATCGTGATCACTTTGAAAAAATCACTTCAAAGAAGCTGATTTTCTTGTAGGGGTCCCGTGTGTATTCGGCACCTTCTTGATATGAAGAGCTGTGAGACGTGGGTTATGAAGTTGTTAGACCACTGTAACATACAATGTAAACAAAAAGGTCGCCATCATTTTGGCCAATCAATTTCACAGATGATTTTTCGGTAGAGGCCTTAGGAGCTCTCATCACCCTTCTGGCATAAAGAGTTGTAGACATTGAGGTATTCGACCGCTGTGATCTACAATGTCGCGCCCATGTTGGGCAACCCATTTTGAAAAATGTTTTTTTTTTGTAGGCGTTCTTGGTAGATTAGTTGTCTTTTTGGTATTCATAACACTGCGGGCAAATATGGGTCATGCTGATGTTTGACACTGTGATGTACAATGTACTCCAAAAGCTCGCGATCATTTTGGGCAACTAATTTCTAAGAAGCTAATTTTTTTGGTAGGGACCTTGGTGCAGTCGTCATCCTCTTGGTATGAAGAGATGTAGACTAATGATGATCATTAAGGTGTTTGACCGCTGTGGCGTACAATGTACTGAAAGGAGTCGCAGCCATTTTGAGCAACATATTTACATCCTACCTTTTGCTGTTACTGCTAGTTACCCCATGTCCTCCCATCAAGACCTTGGCCATCAAAATCGCGTGTCCCTTAACAGACAGACCGATGTCACTTAACATCAATTTACTGGGATACTTATCAGCCAAAGTAGCCAAATAATTCGTAATTTGTTGATAAGTCAAAAAACATTTCTGCACATCTGGAATAGTTCCATCATCCTTAGGTTGTTCTAAAGTCTGCTGAGACTTCGACCTTTTGCGTCTTTTTGCTCGATTGCTTTCTCTTCTGGGTCTTATCCTGCTTTTAAACGCTTTTCGCTTACGATTCATCTCTGAAGGTGTTACGGGAATTTTTAGTTTGACGTTAGCGATTTGGATGTCATTTTGGATAATTTTGACAGGATATTTAGTGACTTAACAAGGAAGAGTAAGGGCTAGCTACTAAGGAAGCAATCTGTGTCGATATTTATTGTTGTAGATTTATTTAGTATTAATGCTACAATATCAATGTCACACAGTATATCAGTATCAGTATTTTTATACAAAACTACCTGCCCGACAGACGTTGTCCTGTCTTAGGCCCGTATCGTCAGTCGTCCCTACAATTGTAGGGCGCCTTTATGGCCTCCTTGATGGTCATAGTTTTCTACTTCTCCGTGTCAGCGCTCTATTTTGAGGTTATGTCACAAACATCTATTTGCATCAAATTGTGCCTGCTTTTGAGTTATATCATGTTCTATCAGCCTGAAATTTCCTACAATTTAAAAAGAAAACATAACTTCACAATAGGAGAGCGCTGACGCTGACACGGGACAAATGTAATCTAAAAATTTTTGAAGGAGAGAATGCAGTATGACAATCAAGGAGGCCATAAATGCGCCCTACAATTGTAGGACGCTTTTATGGCCTTTTTAATTGTCATAGTATTTTCTCTCCTTCAAAAATTTCTAGATTGCACCTGTTCCGTGTCAGCGTCAGCGCTCTCCTATTGTGAAGCAGGAACAATTTAATGCAAATAGAAATTTGTGACATAACCTCAAAATAGAGCGCTGACACGGAAAAGTAGGAAACTATGAAAATCAAGGAGGCCATAAAGGCATCCTACAATTGTAGCAACGACTGGCGGTACGGCCCTTAGCTGTGAACTTGGGATGAATAAGGAATGATAAAAGGGTAAATATATGAAATGTAGGTAATTGTATAGCGAAGTGTTTATACCGCCATGTGGCTAGCAAAAAACGTTGGCAGCACTGCCATTCCCCCATCAACGTACCTTGAAAGTAGGCATAAAATTATGTCTAATGAATTTTGATACGCCAAATGACGTCATTTGAAAGCAATTATTGTATTGCTGGATATGAGTCGAAAAATGTATAGAATCTGGCACATTTCTGGAAACTGATGAATGTAGTGACTCTGATGGCAACAATGGAGCCAATTTGATTTTTCCTGTGACGCAACATAATGCAGGGGCTTCGTGTTTAAGCTTGAAAGCCTTGCAATGCGGACACATAATGTTCATTGGTCCAATAGCAACGATTTGTTGTAATCAACTGTCACGTCATAATTGAATGCAGCTAGATTGGGATTAAATGCGTCACTTCTATACGTTGTTGAATTTCAGTCCTTCGATCCCCTTCAACCTCACTTCTCGCTGCTCATCAGTTTGACCTCTTCGTAATATCTTTGACTTTCAGCATTGCGAGCTCTGCGACCTAGGTTGGTACGTCTAATTGATCGCATTCTGAATAATCACAAATTTAATATAAGGCATGATTGCGGTGAACTAACTTCCACCCTTGTTAATTATTTTTGAACAAATACTTCTCAAAAAACTCACTGAACAAATTGAAAACTGGATAAAAGCTCTAATCGAATTGACTGTGCACTACTAATTAAAAAGAACAATATTTTTCATCGATAAACACTGTTAAACGATAATACAAGTTTGCCGCGTACGAGCTGTCAAGCTGTCAAGCAAAAGGCACGTATTTTCATTTCTTTTGAAGGGGCCATCACCAAGTACGGATGGCGAGGAAATGTAAATCGAAAACCGAAAGCACAGTGTTTTCATAAGCAATTTTCTCTCACATAGCTAAGTGTCAATAGCTGTTGGAATAAAGATGGCGGAGAGGAGTGCCTCTCTATTGGTACTTCAGATATTTCCTCTGCTGAGCGTGCTCCATGCTCAAGCAAACTGTCAAAAGCGGGTAGCTTCGATAATCATTAGGTTTTCAATGATTTCCCAATTTTCTGCGCAATTTTCCTGATGTTTCTTTCCGTAAGAACCTTCTATACAGCATTAGGGAATTTAAAAAAAAAAGATTAATGAAATCGATCATTTTCAAGTTATGGCGTGACCACGCGAAATAGGGATTCATTTATATATATTTTTAGCTTGTTCGGGTTTATTGATATAAATTTTTATTTTTCTTAACTTTTAACGAAGGTATCTGCCGTTTTTTTAACAAGCCCAATGTCCCCGTCCTTTTGTTTTTATACTGAAGACAAGTTCGATCTTCTCTACGTTCGTTCTGAAACACCTTGTTGCTGCAACCTCACCGACGAGTAAGTTGTCTGACATTTTAAATCTGTCTTCTTTGCTAGCGTCACAATTGTGTTTTCAGAATCCTGATGATGGCTCCATAGAGAATGCCGAAAGCTTGATTTTATCGTCAAAAGAGTCAACTTTAGCCTAAAAGTTTTGCCAATTTTCCCAATTAACAAGTAATTGTATTTTGTACCCAACTAGTCGTTGGCTTTGGCAATGACTACTTCTCATGTATATATATATATATAGGGTTGTCCAATAGGGACGCAGGAAAGTAAACGTCAATTTGACATAGACGCCATCTTTGTTTTCTGTCACCGACATGTCATTTTGTTAGTTGAACGTTTACCATTCGATCGCTATGGAGTCGTATTCGATTGAAGACCGCATTAAAGTTATTCAAGAGCACTACAAAAATGGTGCAAAAATAAAAAACACATTTCGCGCGCTTCGTGAACATTTCGGTCGCAACAACCGCCCAAACGAAACAACCATCGGTCGTCTGGTGCGTAAATTCGAGGCAACAGGTTCTGTGGCAAATCTGCCAGGCTCTGGTTGGCCAAGGAGCGTTCGGAAAATATTGCTGTTGTGAAGGAGAGTGTGAGAGACGATCCGAAACAATCAACAACGCGTCGATCCCAAGAATTTGGCATTTCGAGAACCAGTTTGCTCCGCATTCTCCACAAGGATTTGAATGTACACGCCTACATAATCCAATTGACGCAAGAGCTGCGTCGGGCCAACCATTTTTCGCGCCGAACGTTCTCAGATTGGCTCCTTGAACACCGCTAAATTGATGCCAATTTTTCATCAAAAATCATGTTCAGCGACGAAGCGCATTTCACTTTGAATGGGACGGTAAACAAGCAAAACTGCCGCATCTGGGCGAACGAAAATCCCCGTGAGTATCAAGAGCAGCGGATGCATCCTCAAAACGTGACTGTGTGGTCAAAAGGCATCATCGGACCTTACTTTGTCGAAAATGCGGCCGGGGACGCCGATACCGTCAATTCTGAGCGATATCACGTGATGATAGAGGACTAGTTTTTGCCGCAACTTGAAGGAATGGATATGGACGATGTTTATTTCCAACAAGACGGTGCAACATGCCACACAACCAACGTCAATATCTATCGATTGCAGTCCTTCTTCGGTGATCGCGTGATTTCGCGCAGAGGAAATGTGCCATGGCCACCAAGATCGTGCGATTTGACTCCCTTGGACTTCTTTTTATGGGAATATTTGAAAAGCAAAGTCTACGTCAACAAACCAGCCACCCTCCAAGAACTCAAAAACAACATCATTGCCGAGATAAATGCCATAGAAACGACCATGTTGCAAAATGTCATTGAAAATTTCGACCACCGCGTGGACGTCTGTAAATCCAGTCGTGGTGAACATTTGAGCGATATTATTTTTCATACATAAATGGTATAAATGAACCTTCAAAATAAAGTACTCAACTTGATTTGAATATCAATCTTTCTTGTTTTAATATGCGTTTACTTTCCTGCGTCCGTTTTGGACAACCCCATATATATATATATATATATATATATGTATATACAGTGCTTTTCTTTAATGTCCCCTTCCCTTTGATTTTTTGAACGGATCAATTAAAAAAATTAAAACTTGAGGTAATGACAGTGATGCGTGGATGCCATATTTTGGAGTAAAATTGACAGATGAAAATGTCAAGATGGAAGAATTGGAAGAAAAAATCGAAGCGATTTTTATTTATGGTGCGACGCGTAACTTTCACAAGACCGAAAGGATTTTTAATGATCGTTCCCCGAATCGTCCTATCTGTAGAAAATATTCAAGGGAACTTGTATCTAAATGTACAGCTACTGGCAGTGTAAACAACAAAGAGCCCCACGTCATCCGACCATCCCGGAAGAAAAGCAAGTTCGAATAATTGTTGAGAGACCATAGTAAATCCCTAACAGTCTACTTCCTCCATCGCGAATGTATGTGAGGTTTGTCCTTCTACTGTATGGAGACTTTTGAGAAAGAATAAATATCACCCATACAAAATTCAAATGGCACATCAGCTAATTGAAGATGACCCTGATCGAAGAACAGAGCTCTGCGAGACTATGACGGAAACCACTACACGGCATCCTACCTATATCCAAAATATTTGTTTTAGTGATGAACGCACATTTTTTTCAACGGTAATGTGCATAGACAAAATGGTCGTTATTGGAGTGACACCAATCCTCACGTCTTCCGGGAAACTCATACTCAATATTCACAAAAAATTAACGTTTGGGCTGGGATATTGGGAAATCATATTGTGGGGCCTCTATTCATCGAACAAACCATAAACGAGGAACTGTATTTAGATATGCTGGAAAATACTATTGACCCTCTAATCACCGAAATCGTCGAAGCGAATCCTGATGAATTCGATACTGTTATTGGATTCCAGCAAGATGGTGCTCCACCACACCACTACAGACAATTTATTAATCATTTAGATAACAATTACCGCGGTCGTTGGATTGGCCGTCTAGGTCCTGTGGAATGGCCAGCTCGCTCGCCAGATTTGACACCTTTAGACTTTTTTTATGGGGCTCTTTGAAGCAACAGGTGTACGAAACTGAACCTGCTTTAATATTGGATATACGGCTGAGAATAACAAATATTTGTAGAAATATCGATGTTACTATGTTTGAAAATGTTCGACGCGAAATTATGGACCGGCTTTAATTGTGTCAAGAAGTTCAAGGCAACCCTTTCCAGCATTTTCTAAACTGAACTCAACGTATTTATTCGAATTATCAAAGTTAAATGTCAATGTATTCAGGTAATTATTAAATGTACCACCATTTTGTACTAGGTA